ATTTTAATTGGCAGGGGGCTCCTATGACACTATGTTGGCAGGAGCCTTTCCATGTTTTTTGTATACTTGTTTTTTGTTCATAGGATAGACAGATAAGTTATCTGGTATATTCAGGTTCACCCCCAAATCTCTAGCCTTGTTCCCAAGTTATATTGAACACATGTACAATCTGTGTACTGTGTACACTGGGTTTTTCATTATATTATATGTATGTTACGTCTCACATTACATTCAATGCATGTACAGTTCAATGTGGGATTTCAGCCACACATTTATCCAGGTATCCTAGTTAATTTGTAAAGTGAACACCAATTAGCTGTTTCTTAGAGGTACGCATGTACATGCAGGATATACATGTATCCACTGTAATGTGTGAACAGGGCTTGTAAGGTTGTGTGTGTTAAAGTAAAGGTTCCCTTGCTCGAAAGCCAGTCGAATTCGACTCTAGGGTTGCGGTGCTCATCTCCGTTTCAAAGCCGAAGAGCCAGCGCTGTCCAAAGACATTTCCGTGGTCATGTGGCCGGCATGACTAAACACCAAGGCGCATGGAACGGTGTTACCTTCCCACCGAAATGGTACCTATTTATCTACTTGCAATTTCTTGCTTTCGAACTCTGGGTTGGCAGGAGCTGGAACTAGAGACAGGAGCTCACTCCGTCATGCAGCAACCCGGGTCTCGAACTGCTGAACTACTCACCTTCCACAGCCTGCAGTTCAGCGTCTTAACCACCTGAGCCACCGCAGCTCCTGTGTGTGTTAAGTGCTGTCAAATTGCCGGATTATGGTGACCCTATGAATTAATGACCTCCAAAGCATCCTATTGTTAACAGCCTTGCTCAGATCTTGATTGAATCCATCCATTATGCTGGGTCTTCCTCTTTTCCTTGCATTATCATCTTTTCCAGTGGCTCTTGTCTTCTCATAATGCGACCAAAGTATGATCGCCACAGTTTAGTAATTTTAACCTTTGAGAGAAGAGTTCAGGTGTGATTTGATCGAGAAGCTATTTATTTTTTGGTTGTCCACAGTATCTGTAAAACTCTCCGCCAATACCATATTTCAAATGAATCAACTTTCTTCCTGTCAGCTTTCTTCATTGTCCAACTTTCACACCCAAAGATAGTAAAGGCAAATACTATAGTATGAATTATCTTGATCACCAGAAACACGTCCTTACACTTAAGGATCTCGCTCCACTCTCACCCACGAATGGCAGAAAGCTTCATGTTGGTTTTCGCACAAATTCTTTGTGTATTTGCCCACATTTGAGGCTTTCCCTGGCTGCACTGCCGGTCTCCCCAAGTCTGCTGTGATAGGTTTGGAGAAAAGTGTAGATGGGAGGGAAGGTGCATATTCCTAGACCTCTGACCACATCTAGTTCCATTTCTCCTTGTGCCCGTCTCCCACTGCCCCACCATTGGCAGGGGGTTTCCCTGGGTGTCAGTTGCTGATATATCATTATAGCATCCTAACACTGTAGTGATATTCCTACTATCAACTTTAAAAGGTCTGCTGGAAGTGGGGGGGGGGACTGGTAGGTGGTAAGGGGATGAAACGTGGAAAACCTCTGGGTGGAACTGTGGCAGAATTATAAACAAGATGGGGCAGTTCTGTACATCGGCCTGAATTAGCTTAGGCCTCTCTGGTTCTCTCCCATAAAGCATTGCAGGAGGCTCTTCAGCCTGACAATGCATCCTGCACTCTGCTCTAAAAAGAACTGTTTACATTTCTGAGTACATTTCTAGATATGAGGACCAGTGGCTCCAAGCTCCTGCCTTAACAGGGAGGGTGTTTTTATCCTAGTAATAAATGACTCCAGTCAGTTTTCTGGTCAGGACCATCTGATTTCTGGATTGACAGCTAATCTGGATTCTAAATACTGAAATTGCTACTTGCTTGAAAATTTGTGCAGTATGGTTTTCGTTCAATAAATCACAGATACTTTGGAACAGGTTTCTCTCTCTCTCAAACTATGGGGTTCCTGCCAGTTTCAACACCACCACCCCTGGTTGAGCTCAGTGGAGATGGGATTCCTAGGAAAAGCTCCTGGACTCTTAATTGCCCCAACAGGAACCACTGCTGCTACAAATGCTGAGGCATTCACAGCAGCAGTGAGAGCAAAATGGGAAAACACCCACATCCAGAAGCAATTCTGTCTTTTCGGCACTTGACAAAGGGGCAGAAAAAACATCATTCATAACCTGGTTATCATGCCTTTGGGTCCCATCTTCAAAGGGTTGTTAAATTATCATTTACAATGGCCACTCTCCAGTCTAGAGGATGACATGCCCAAGGCTCTGCTTATATTCCCAATTTGTTCCTGGTTAGACTTTTAGAAAGTTGCCCCCCTCCCCACAGAATTGCCAACCCACCCTTTAAAACAGACCTCTCCCAAATTTAAAAACACCAATTGGGGTGCAATGTTGGTTTAGATTGTGCAGTATATGATTCTGGATGCTTATAAAGAACATAAGCAGAAGCCTGCTGGATCAGACCAATGATCCACTTAGCCCAGCAGCCTGTCTCACAGAGCAACAAGCCAGTTGCTCTGGAGGGCCAATAACAGGAATGGCAGATGATTAAGAATCTGATTAAGACACCCCAACAGTCTTGTAAATGAATATTGTGATAGGCTCAGTAGTTACAACTCCGGCAAAAGGACAGTATTATTGTATCTGATTCTACTATTTAAATTCGAGGAGGAGATTTGATTTCCCTTCACTCAGACCCTGGTCACACGGGCCGGATATCGCGGGGGGGAGGTGTGGCTGTTTGCCCCAGAGCGAACTACCGCGTGGCAGCCGGATCACACCTCCCACCGACGTCCTGTGGTTCGGGGGGAGGTGCCGATCATACCTCACTCCTGCGGCGCGGCAAAGAAGCGGTGCGGCGGGGGTTGTGGGTTTTTTCTAACCGAAGTGTGCGCATGCGCCGTTGGGTGTCTGTGCGCATCCCATGGAGATGCTGGCTGTATGTGGAGGAGTGGGGAATCAAACCCAGTTCTCCAGATTAGAGTCCACCACTCTTAACCACTACACCAAAAAAGCAATTGGGGAATTCGTTATTTTTGTAGAGCACCCCTACTCTTTCTAAGCCCACTGATTTATAAGGGTGGAATCCTATTTAGGACTGCACTATTAAAAGGAGACGATGAGACCCGGGGAAGGGGGGGGCACATCACAGACTGGAAGCATACCTGTTGGTGGGACTTACCTCCTGCTGTGAGGCTGAAGAAAACACAGGCTACAAGTAGCCAAGTCTGAGCCATGTCTAGCTACCTAGCGCCCAGAAAGAAACTGTACCTTACCAGACAGGCTTTGCCAAGAAAGGAGACACTAAGCTGTCTTCAATAAGCAGGGTAGGTGCCCCCCCCTTAACCATTATGCAACACACCTACACTTCAATCTGTCCTTGTGGAGGTGGGCAAAGTATGTGATCAAAGAAACTGGTATTAGCCTTTTGAAACTGGGCCGCCCAACTTCAGATGTTAGCTTTCCCCCCACTTCTGATCTTGAGGCTGCCGAAACTGGCAAGCTTACCTAACACATCACTGATTATTCTAGCTTCTGGCAGACCCTTCCTCTTTAGCCATGCCTGCTAGCTAACTAGCCTTTTATATGCTACATACAGAGGACCTTTAAATTATTAACTGCACATTGTGGGAGCTGCTTCTCCAGACACAAGTTCCAGAGGCAAAGGTAATGTTTCAGTGATCGACCTACACCTAGTCCAGCACTCTAACCCCTACACTACATGAACATCTGGCCCCATTGTTAACCCCCTGAATCTAACAAAGGCGTGAGAAAGGGAAACAAAGCAAGGAGAAGGGCAGCCATGGCCTATGTGACTTCAGCATCGTCAAAAGAGAAAAATGTGTAAACTGGCCATTGAAGCAATAAATGCACCCGCCAAGTTGTCAAGGTCTCCGACTTTTAAGGTTGCCAGTCACCTGGTGGATGCTGGAGAAATCCCAGAATTACATTGGATCTTCTGACTACATAAATCATGTATTTATTTGCTTGTCTGCTTAAACAAAATGATTTAAATAATTTTTTTTTAAAAATTATTTATTTATTCCGGTTCTTGTGGAGAAAATGGCTGCTTTGGTAGGTGAACTGTGTGGCATTCTACCCAACCAAGGTCCCTTCCCTCCTTAAACTCCATTCTCACCCTCAAGTCGCCATGCATTTACGAATCCAGAGCTGGCAGCCCTACTTGGGATTCACAGTCTCTAAAGAACAAAACGATCTGTAACGGGATGTTTGGGATTCAGGTCTGATTTCTTGTTCTAAAAAATGTGACGCGTGGTTTTCAAGCGTTACAAGAATTGTGCGGCAACGGCGGCGTTTAATTTAATTGTCTCCCTACTGCATGCAGCAGCATTAGCATTTCCTTCCTGAAAACCGGCTTGCGAGACCTTGCAAGGTAGTTCAATTACCCCCCAGCAGCGTTATCGCATATTTAAGAAAGTCTTGGACTAAGCAGCGGGGATGCTTTCGAAACGCTGCAGCGGGGATTATACTCCGCAGGCGGCACAGGTTCTCCTGACACCTTCACCGTTGCGCACTTCCAGACCTGACCACCCCGTAAGAGACAATTTATCTGAATCAATAAAGGGCCCCTTCTGCAGCTCTTCGCGAACGTTCCAAGCCAGACCAGAAGCCGGACAGGGTGTGGCGCTCTAGCCCTGTCGTCTCCACGGTCTTTTCCCCCTTCTGTTCTCTCGCCCGGCCTCCTTTCTTCAGATCTCTATGTTGTCATAGAGACCATACGCTTTCTAACTCCATGGTAGAACTTCCCCAGAGGACCACTTCCGATAGCGTCAGAACCGCTTCCGGTGGAGGCGTTCCTAAGGGGGGGGTGGGGGAAAAGGTGTTTTTGTTGCGCGGAACCGGTGAAGGGCTGCGGTGGCTGGATTCCGGAACAAGCGGCTGTCCTTCGTTGTCCAGACGCCCAGGGAAGCTCCGGGGGTGGGGGGGGAGGAGGAAGGAGGGGGGGAGGCAGACAGGGAGGGGCAGGTGAGCGTGAGAAGGGAAAGACGAAATCTCCCGTAATTACCCACCTTGTGTTCGTGCCGCCTGAAGAAGCTTTGTGGGGCCTACCGTAAATATTAAGCTTCTCCACACACTTTCTCCACAGTGCTTCAGGTATATTTCAGACCTACCTTTTATTATCTGCCTCCCGCCTTACGAAAACCACTTCCCCCCACCCCGCCCCCAGCTTCGCCGGTCACTGAGTGCAGACCAGTCTATTCCCAGGGGCTTCTTCGAGCAGCCCTTTAACAGGAGAAGAGATTGGATTTATACCCCACCTTTTACTACCCGAAGGAGGCTCAGAGCAGCTTACAAACCCTTTCCCTCCCTCTCCCCACAACAGGCACCCTGTGAGGTAGGTGGGGCTGAGAGAACTGCTCTTGAGAGCCCAGCTCTGAGAGAATTTATGACTGACCCATGATCACACCAGCAACTGCATATGGAGGAGTGGGGAATCAAACCCAGTTCTCCCAGATTAGAGTCCGTGCTCCTAACCACTACACCGAACTGGCTCTCTGCTACTAGCTTTTATGTAATCGCCTTCTGCAAGGGGTAGGGTGGGATATAAATCCAAGGATAAAAAATAAGGCAGGCATTGTGGAGGCTGTTGTGGCTTCACATTTCTTAACCCTCCCAAGAGTTCCTTATCAAAGTGCTGGAGATGTATTTCAGGCCTCCCTTGGATGTCAGTATCAGAATGAAAGTGACTAATAGGGTCAGCTGGGAAGTTCCCACCACAAGCTACTCGCCATGAGCCCTTTGACTACAACAGGGGAGTAAGAATACTAACATACTTTGTAGGGCCATTGTAAAGGTTATTGAGACACTGACTGAAAAGTGTTCTGAAAGCTTTAAAACAAAAAGCACTATGAAGGCCAATAGCTATTGTTAATTATATTGAAGATATCAGATACTATTCAGAAAGAAGATTGTTATCCAAACAACTCGTTAGAGGTGGTCTTCTGCTGCATTTTAGCTTTTTGAAGTAGTTCCGATTCAGAAGCAATAGAAAAATCTACTGGTCACACGTAACCGATGCAAGTCAGTGTTGCTGCATAGGGAATTGCCTTGCTGTTTTCTAGTGCTCTCCCCTTTAGGTGTTTTAAAAAAACAAACCCTGCAACCCACCCTGGATTTTATACACCTTCACACAGAATAGCAGAACTGGAGTGAAACTTACTAACCTTTATTATAACTGAACCGTGTGCCCTGGTGGTCCCTGGAAACATTTGAAGGAGAGACTCTGCCCGCCTCAAGAAATTTTGTCTGCACACCAACAAGTCAGATCTGGTGAGCGGAAAGCCATGTGAAGCAGAAGGGAAATCTAAGGATAGCCTCTTATTGTAGACTATCGCAGGGTTGCAGCATAGGTATGTGGAATGTCATTCACTGGTTTGTCGCCAGTGATGCCACAGGCATTTTCCAGTATGTGCAATTGTAATGTATAGGACTACCATTCAGGTAACTTTAGATGATTAGGAAAAGAACTGCTTTTTCCAGTAGTACCAGGCTGTGGTTTGAATGCTAGGAAAAAATTTTAAAAGACCAGTTTGGCTTGCACACCAAATGACCAACAACTGCATTTATGGTATTGTAAACCAGTTATGAGAAAGACCCGTAATTGTCAGTTGGAGGTTTCTGGAGGGCAGGCGTAAGAAGGCTGGCTACAAGCCAGGAAGTTTCCAATTCAGATCTTGCCTCGGCCACCATTAGTTCAGACAATCCGTTGTTTTCTAATCTGTTACATTCTATGCAATATGGGGAAATGCTGCTGGGTTTCAAGGTTGTCTTAACAGTAGTTGAATAATGTAGGTGATATACTTTTAAAAACTCTAAAGTACACTATGCAATCGCAATATTATATTATTGTTCTCTAATGATGCTTTCCTCTCCTTTTGTTGCATAGCCAGCATTTAACACCTGAGGGGAAGTAACCATCTCATACGATCACTTGGAGTTCAAAGGATCTAAAATAGCCACCTCTACACTGACCCATCCCTCCATCTTCACATAAGTCCTCCCCCATGAGAACTCTTTTCTGTCTGAAACCACAGCCAAAGAAAATGGGCATGCCAATCAAGATGCTCTAGATGACTTAAATAAGATGCAGGTAGGTGTCAGAGGCCCAAAGTGCTCTGTGGTTCTTGTCCAGACTCTCTTTTTAGAGGCATTGTAGCCTTTGAAGGATGCTCCTGCAAGTGCAAATTCAAAGGCAGCTACGTTTTCTGCCTGAAATGGGAGGAGAGTGTATGTTCGAGAAGGGGCAAGGCAGCCATGCTGTCGCTTTCCTTTTTTTAAAAAATTGATGTCTTAAAACTGACTGCTCAAGGAAAATTCCAAAGAAACTTCTTTTCCTTTAGTCAGAGTCTCAAGGAGGGAGGGAAGGTGGCATGGTATAGCCTCATCTTGTTAGGTCTTGGAAACTAAGCAGGGTCAGTACTTGGAAGGGATACCACCAAGGAAGTCTGCAGAGGAAGGTAACGGCAAGCCACCTCAGCTTCTCACTTGCATTAAAAACCCTTTGCTGGAGTTGCCATAAGTCGTGTGTGGCTGGACAGCAATTTACACACACGCGTGAAGTCTCAACGCAAAGTGTGAAGCAACCTCCTAGAGCATAAAAGTGACAAAAGAGTTTCCTCACCCATGCTGCAGATGGATCAGTTCACCCATGACTGTTTAAGGGGCTGTGGAATCTCCTTTCTTGGAACTTTTTGAAAAGGCATGTGCCAGGAATGCTTTAGGCAGTGAATGTCCTATGTTAGGGCAGGCTGATGGTATGGATGATCCTTTTAATCCTTTCCAATTCTATAGCTACTTGTTATCTTGATGGTGTGTAGTCTATACTGCAACTGTTGTAAGGTTAAGAGTGGTAGTTTTTTTAATTGGTTAGTCCAAGTCTAGACAAATTTTCTTTGGCTTGAGGAGGCAGCCCAAAATTTTAGGAGCCAAAGTCATTTTTCAGCACTCAGGGTTTTGTATTTTGTAATTATAACTTTTGTCTAATTATTGCTACCATAAAGCCTAATCCTAGCCTCTTCCCTATTCCTTGTGACAAAGCACTGTAGCATATCAGTAAATATGGGAGCGTAATGCTGGTTGTTGTACTGCTTGTCATCACTTCAGCAAACAGCTAATCTCTACCCTAACCTCTCTCCAGTTTCTCATAATTTCATTATTGCGTTAAAAAAATCTCCATTTAGTTAAATGTTGAGAACCAGAACAGAAAGAAAGTGTGACTTTTAAAAGCTTGGAAGTGCTGTGAAGAGTTAAATCTTCACAGAGCCAGAGAGCCTTGAGTGACAGGCTGTTCCAAGAGATCTGATTGGTTAGCATCAGCTGAGCAGATAAAGACTTCTGAACTGGATGCATTGGAGAATTCAGTCTGATTTCAGCCCTAACTGTGGAGTACTGATGGTTTCAGAATTTAGCCCTGACTGAGAGCAGTTTAACACAGACAGGAGAACTGGGGGAAAGTTGGCAAGGAAGTTTGAGAAGTCGGCGAAGACTCCCATTCAGGCCACAGAAAGGGGATAGATCTAGTGAGAGGAGAATTTCCCACCCGTCAAACAGGGAGTTAGCTCTGAAGAGTGTAGAGATCCCTGGTCTTGTGTGGTTCAAAACTGCCTTTAGAGACCTTAAGAGTCAGTTAAAACTCAAGACGAGTACTGGTGTTTCAAGAGAAGGGGTTTGGGTACTGGAAAGACTGCACCAGCCTTCTGGAAACCAAAAGAATCAGAATACTCAAAGAAAGTGTCCTGGAGTGTTTGGAAAACACTGAAATGAAAGCCTCTCAATATAAAGATTTTGAGTAACACTGATTAGCTTAATAAACTCTTATTAGCCTGAAACATAAGAACTAAAGTCTGTACATGTATTGAGTTACTGCAGAAATTTTACCCTTTTATGTTGAACCTTTTCTCTCTATATGGAATAAAATATTTTGTTAATTTGGAATATAAAAACCAAGTGCCATTAAAGTTAAAGAGGGCTCCCAAGTCTTCCCTCAGGTTCCTGGGCTGAGCAAACAGCCACAATATTATACTCTGACAGGGTGAGACAACCAGAGTTCTTCAGTAACAAAGAAAAACACATTACTAGGGCAGCTCAGTCAGTAAAGGGAAAGAAAAACAGGGAAAATCTTGCCTCTGAGGGAGGGAAGTGGACGGGACCGTCATAGAAAGCACCTGGTTAAGAAATTAATTCATCCACTATCATAGAGTTATAGAGTTAGCACATAAACAAGCAGTGACAAGAACACTACAATAAAATAATTTGTGAAAATGTTTGGCACTTGCAGTGAAATTTCTAGTTGCACGGTGGTCTGGGATTCGTTGACTGTGATAATATACTTGGATTGGGCTGTGGAAGATGTCATGTAGAGAAGCTAAACTAAGCTGGCCTGGCCTGACTTGTTGGGTGGGGAGGAAATGAAGGAAACCACATTAATTTGGATTAGCTGACCTACTTGCTTCTGCTTTGGGGAAGGTTTTCTGAGCTGTGCTAATTATTGTATGGCAGGCAGTCCTTAGATTTTCTGGCAGGCTGAAGTTCTAGCTCTTTTAGCATTATGCACCACTAGGTGGTGAGTTAGACTTTTCTTTTGAGCTGTGAGAGCTCTGAAAGAGCTGTGACTGACCCAAGGTCACCCAGCTGGCTTCATGTGGAGAATTGTGGAATCAAACCCAGTTCTTCAGATTAGAGTTCATCTCTCTTAACCACTACACCACACTGGCTCTCTCCTGAGCTGTGCATTCAGCGATTGATTCATTCTTTTCCCTCTTGTTTTCATTCCCATGTGTAACAGTCACAACTCCCTGTTTAAATGTTTTTAAATGTTTTAATAATGTTTTGAGCTTAAATGTGTTATATATGAATCTGGCATCGAGCCAGGCAGTGTGAGCCGCCCTGAGCCCACTTGCAGGGAGGGCGGATTATAAATATAAGAAATAAATGAATAATAAATAAATTATGTCTTCTCAGCTGTTGACTGCCCAACTCCTGCATGATTCATGCGTCCTCCTGACAGGATTTGTCGTTGCCTTGATCTGTGTGGACTAAGCGGATTCCTCTTAGCGGAACAGTGCCACAGAGTGAGTACATCCAATCTCCTTGTCCAGTGAATGGACATTGTTGCCTTCCATGATCCAGTCAGGCACTCACCTGAAGTAAGGTCAGGGTGTACAGCTGAAATGTTTGACATTAGGTCAGGTGTGTTATCCTGAGACAGCAACCCATGCCTACACATACACAAGGAATAAGATTGCTGTAAGAGCCATACTGGAGCTGCGGTGGCTCAGGTGGTTAAGACGCTGAACTGCAGGCTGTGAAAGATCAGTAGTTCAGCAGTTCAAGACCCGGGTGCCGCAAGACGGGGTGAGCTCCCGTCTCTAGCTCCAGCTCCTGCCAACCTAGCAGTTCGAAAGCAAGAAATTGCAAGTAGATAAATAGGTACCACTTTGGTGGGAAGGTAACAGCGTTCTGTGCGCCTTGGTGTTTAGTCATGCCGGCCACATGACCACGGAAACGTCTTCGGACAGCGCTGGCTCTTCGGCTTTGAAACGGAGATGAGCACCGCAACCCTAGAGTCGGATTCGACTGGCTTTCGAGCAAGGGAACCTTTACCTTTACCTTTAAGAGCCATACTAGATCAGCCAAAATATCCATCTAGCCCACTATTTGGTTTCCAAAAAGCAGCCAGCCAGATAGAGGCTCCTGAGAAGCTCACAGACCAAAGACAAAGTCAGGAGCTTTCCCATGTAGTTGGTCCCCAGCATCTGATACTGAAAGAGATGCCACCTCCCAAGGATGCTGCAGACTTTTCAAAAACTGCAGCTGGCATTTGGACGCCATGTTTAGGATGCCCATGTTTAGTTAATCTCACCCTTATTTGATCGCCTTGAAGATCTGCTCACAGTTCAGTATGAACAGTATTGCAAAGACTTTGACATCTTCATGGTAATTGCTGGCCAGGTAGCAGCTAATCACATATGGCTGACTACTATGCTCCAGGTCACGATTGGATTCCTCTTTTAGTATTAGATTATATGTGCTCTTTCGTGGCTGCTTTCTGCAGCCTGGAACCTTAACTTTTTGTTTTGTTATTGCTGTCCTGTATTTCCTGAAAATTCATACTTTTGCCTTGGTCAATTTTATTTTAAGTTTCTAGTCTGGGAGCTGCACTCCAGTTTAAGTGCTCTGCCAGTGTTTTGAATGTGAAATTGACTGAGGCTTTCAGCAGCTTTAAAGTGAGCGCCCTTAGTGTATTAGTTTGGATGGAAGTGCAGCTTCTGGACTGGGGACTTGGAGTGGGCCACACTGATTTAATTGCCAAGGTGTGCACCTTCATGAAACATAGAACAGCAGAAGTTTATAGTTGTGTACTTGGCTAAAAGACAGCCTGTTTAGGAAGCTGATTTTTTTCCTCTTGGAGTAGAATTTTTTTTCCAGAAAAGAAGGCTTGTTTATGGGCCTTCGACTGGCATCTGGTTGTCTGCTGTGGGCAATAGAATGCTGGACTGGGTGGGCCTTTGCTCTGATCCAGTAGGGCTCCTCTGATGTTCTTATTCTTGCGTGGTGTTTCGATTCTCAGCTCAAATGTGTGTATGTAAACAGTTCAGAGACAACTTCTGTACTCTTTTATGTAGGTCTCTGTAGAGATGACATATATGTATTTTGTAACTAATGCCCGTCCTTGGCTCTGTATTGACTATTGCTAATACAAAGCCAAACCTCCATATAACACACAATCATGTAATTAAAGGATAAGGGAAAATTGTTTTTCTAGTTGCCCTCATTGCAAGTACCATCAGAACTTAATGCGCATTGAATGATCTCGCGCTTGTGGCCAAGGGATTGTTTTCGTGGGGAAGCTGCAGACAGACCTTCTCTGGAAGAGAAAGACCCACATGCCATTTCTTAGGCTTGCTCGGAACACTCATTCACTTAGTGATTTGTCTGCAAACATCTGTTTCTGTAGAAATTGAGGGGCTAAAGAAATTGGGAGCTGATTGGTGCCTGGATGAGGGGAACCACTGGGAGACGCATACAAGTTTCTCTTAGCTTTTTCTTAAGAAGAAGCCGGATATATTTAAAAAATGAATCGACAACCTTGAGACTGGCTTGGTTCTGATTGCAGTGTCTCCTCCCCCCCCCCCCCCCCCCCGGAGTCATGGCTACCACAAACCCTTTGGAGAACCTCCAGGTGGAAGCCAGCTGCTCCGTCTGCCTGGAGTACCTGAAAGACCCTGTGATCATTGAGTGCGGCCACAACTTTTGCCGGGCTTGCATCACCCGCTGGTGGGAGGACTTGAACCGTGACTTTCCTTGCCCTGTCTGTCGCAAGACTTCCCGGCACCGCATGCTGAAGCCCAACCGGCAGCTGGGCAACATGGTAGAGATAGCAAAGCAGTTGCAGGTCACCAACAAGCGCAAGGTGCGGGATGAGAACTTGTGTGAGAAGCACAATGAGGAGCTCCGCCTTTTCTGCAAGGACGATCAGGAGGCTGTTTGCTTGGTGTGTGAGATTTCCCATGAGCACCGGTCCCACACGGTCGTGTCCTTGGATGATGCCTCCACGGAATACAAGGTAGGACAGATCCTGGATTACGTTTGCAGAATGAAACCAGTGCGGGGGGGGGGGCGCTGTAGGAGAGCATTGAAAGTAATACGGCTGGTACTGTGATGTATGCATTTGATGGCTTTGGCACAGTAGCAGAAGAGTTTGCACAGCAAGACTGGGAAGAGGGAAATACAAGTGGAAACCAGCAGCAAGATGTTGCATCCTTTTTTCCTTCTCCCTAAGTGCCTCTTAACTTCAGCTTCATATACGGGCTGGGACCAACATACTTAAGTGACCGCCTCTTCCCATATACACCTTGAGGAGCGTTACGCTCTGAGAGTCAACATCTCCTGGCGATTCCTGGCCCAAAGGATGTCCGCCTAGCCTTGACCAGGGCCAGGGCTTTTTCTGCCCTGGCCCCCACCTGGTGGAACATGCTCCCTATTGAGATCAGGGCCCTGTGGGATCTTATTCAGTTCCGCAGGGCCTGCAAGACGGAGGCAGTGGGTGTCCACACATGGCCCCCTGAGGTTGCTGTCTCCCACCCACTGATAACCGGCCATACCTACCTACATCAATGGGCTGGACTCTCCCTACGGCAAGCTATGATTATTGATTTTATATGCTTATAATGTTTTTTAAAATTTTATTGCATTTATGGAAATGTAACCCACCCTGAGCCCGTTTACAGGATAGGCAGGATATAAATGCAAAAAATAAATAAATATTTAAATTGCTCTGTGGACATGGGGGTCAAGGAGCGTGAAGGGAGGGGTTTCTTCTTGCCTGCTTCCACTCTTAAGCTCCATAGGGCAGTTTCTTTATATGGAGCTGAATGTTGGAGCTTCTGGGAGTAAAGAGCAAGTGTTCCAGGGCTCAGAAACAGATACCGTACATGGCTCTAATCAGCAAAGCCCCAGAATGCATCATAAGAGGGCTGTGGGGCTGATTGCCTACAGCAGTGTTTCCCAGAAGTGGGTTGTAAAGCCTCTGGGAGTGGGTTATGGGCTGTCCGTCCCTCATGGCCCTCTCTGCCCTTTCCACTTCTTTCTTTGTATCTTGGACACCACAAGTTGATCCTGGAAACAGTATCTTCCATTTTTCTTCACTTCAAGTAAAATGTGTCCTGATGGAACCTATAATGAGTGAGAATCTGGGTGCGGGGGGAGATTAGAGACAGTAATGGAGGAGAGGGTGGTGAAAGGCTGGAATGTAATCTCCATGTGCAAGGGCTGTGTATATTGGAATGCCATTTGCTTGGGGTTCATAGAGGAGGCTGCTTGTGTCCTTTGTGCGATTTTCAGGAACATCTGGTTAGCCACTGTAGAAAATGGAATGCTGAACTAGATGCCAAGGTCATTGCCTAGGGCTAAAAAAAAACCCATTGGGCCGACCCTGGGTGGGTCATCATACCAAGTAAAGTTGGACTGGTTGGTCACCATCTCAAAAAGGTTGGGAACTGCTGGCCCAGGGTAATTTTCTTTTACCCAGTAGGTGGAACTAAGATAATGTCCCTCACCTACACCCAGGCCCCTCCCACTGGAGTTGCAAGCAATTCTGTTAAGACCTTCATTCAGCCAGTCCCGTGAAAGCTACACATCAACAGGCTTCAGTATGTCTTGTATTTGTTTGTTGGGGAGGGGAGTCCTCACCTTTTGGGGTGAATTTCAAAAGTTATATTGTTGGCTGTCTGTATAAGTGCCCAGCCCTTCATTGTTAAATGCAGTGAAAACCAAAGGTGGAGGAATGCGAAACCTTAAAAATTAGGAGCTTGAAGTGTGATCTTGGCCCTAACTAGAATTTAAGAAGATTGAGACAACTAAGGGTTCGTTTTACAATTCATGTATCACCCAAACAATGAATGAGGCAATAGGAAGATTCAGTTTATCTGTCGGGTGCTTGCTTTTGTCTTTGAATTAACAATTAGGTAATTTGCAGTTCATCACTCAAAGTGGCTGTTTTACCAAACAGTCATTCAGATAAATTAATTGTTGGACTTTCTGCAGTGTAAAAAGCCTTAGAACTAATCTGCATGCTAACATGAAATTGATGACCCAATAAAATTGCTTAAAAACCAGTTAAATAATGAACAAGACTTACATAATTAATTAGTGTTTATGTACTATAGGCAGCTAATACATTCAAATTAATGGCAGTTCATTCGCTATTAATAAGCAACGGTTAATTAATATAGTTTAAAAACATTTTATTTCAAAAAGAAATACAATACAATGTCAAATAACATTTTTATTTTGAAACAATTCACCCTCAAAAATTATAAACAATCATTACAGTCTTATAGATCCAAAATTTAAAGCTTGTTGGTGTAACTACTACTTGATTAGCACTCAGTCTTGACTATTTACTCATTTTGATTATCCTATCTCTATTATATATAATTGTGAAGTGGGGTGGCACTTTCTGAACATTCCACAATCTCCTAAATCAGTTGGCTCCATGGTGTGTCACTCAGAAGCTGTCCCTATCCACTGGCTGCACTGCCTGAGTCCCACCTCCAACATTCTGAACAGTTTGCTGTTCCTCTCCCCCCCCCAGCCAGTCAGAACACAGAGGTCATTTGCATATACGGCCTGATTGGCCTTTGCCTCTAACATTCTAAACAGTTTGCTGTTGGGAGTCATTGAATGTGTCCTGAGGTAAAATGCATATTCCAATCTTCCCTTAAATGATCACTGAAGTTGCCAGTCTCCCTGTGGGGCCTGAAGATCTCCCAGAAATTACCTTGTTCCCCAGCCACAGCACATCATTTCCCCTACAGAAAATTTCCCAGCTATTACAACTGATCTCCAGATGACCAAGATCAGTTCTGGAGACAATGGCTGCTTTGGGCAGTGGACTCTATGGCATTATACCCTGCTGAAGTCCCTCCTCACCCCAAACCCTGTCTTCCCCAGGCTCTACCCTTCAAATCTACAGGTATTTCCCAACTCAGAGTTGGCAACCGTTTAATTGTCTATGGAACCACTTTCCAGACCTTGGAACTCAGAAGGCATGGCATAAGAGGAGGTGCTTTTCTACCTTCGCTGCCACTACATAGCCCCAAATTAACATAAGCCAACATCCAGGCAGCACCTGGAGATCTCCAGCTATTACAACTGATGTCAAGATGACCAAGATCAGTTCTCCTGGAGACAATGGCTGCTTTGGCCAGTGGACTCTATGGCATTATACCCTGCTGAGGTCCCTCCCCACCCCAAACCCTGTCCTCCCCAGGCTCTACCCCTCAAATCTACAGGTATTTCCCAACCCAGAGTTGGCAACCCTGTAACTGGCTATGGAACCGCTTTTCAGACCCTTGGAACCCAGAAGACATGGCATAGGAGGAGGTGGTTTTCTACCTTAGCTGCCACTGCATAACCCCAAATCAACATAAGTCAGGGGTGGAGAGAACCATACCTGTTATCATGAGGCTGTCCTCCCATACTACCCATGGGGCAGCAAAATGACTTGAGACAATCCTGCCTTGAGACGCCATGAGTCCGTTCGCAGGGAGGGCGGGGTATAAATTGAATTAATAAATAAATAATAAATATTACAGCTAAGCAGAAGGAAATAAACACGGCTTGCCTCCCACTATTTTCCCCTTCCCTCTGCCGCCCCACCAGCCACAGCCGGGGCACTCACCTGGAGCTTCCTTCTAGAGCTCATTGTATTTCTTCCCACAACGGGCCTTGCTCTTAGTTTAATATAAAAGGGAGATATGGTTATACAAGTCTAATGTCATATTTAATTCCTTCCTCCAAAATTCAAAAAAGGATTCCCAGCCGTCGAAAAAATTCTCAGCTGTCTCTGAGCTGAACGTGTGCTGACAATTTTGATAGTTTTGTAATACCTCAGACTTTCTGAATCCAAAATTTGATTGTAAGATGTTTACTAGTTTTCAGATTTTTTGCAAGTTGCAGTTTTGCAGCTGTAAACATGTCAAGAAACATCAGGTTTTGGACTATATGAATTAACTAGTCCCAGTAATACCGCCTTGGGATCCAAAGGGGTAATAATCCCTGTAGCACAATAAATTCTGTAAGAATCTTAGATCAATTTTTTTTAACCAGTAGACAGTTGATATATTAGTCACAAAAATCATTGGAATGAGTCTTGGAAAAGGTATATCAGGCAATGACTTCATGCGGGGAGGGCGGGGTATAAATTTGAGTATAAATAAAGAAAAAAATAAAGTTCAGGTCAGTTTCATATTTCAAGTAATTTTTACTAGTTTGGCTATCTGAAGAAGTGGAGCCATCGTATTCCTACTGTAACCACTGTTACTTATGAGCAGGGGTCTTGTTGTAGAAAAAGAGCTGCCGGAGCTCATTAGCATAACTCATTAGCATAACTTATTTGCATATGCCACGCCCCCTGACATCACCGGAAGTGACAGAAGGCCACACCCCCTGACATCACCGGAAGTGTGTCAGAAGGCCCGGCTACTTACCCTCCTGCTTCATCCTCATTCCCAAACGGAATGAGGATCGAAGCAGAGGGCGGGGTAAAGAAGGGGGCGGGGCTTCACCACGTGACCACCCCGCCCCCTAGAGGTTCTCTTCCGGAGCTCCGTACCTGAGAGCTCCCCCCCGACTAGAGCCCTGCTTATGAGTCATTCACGAAAGGGATAAGCCAGTTTGCAGTTGGGCATACTTGAAAAGGCAGATACCCAGACTGGAATGAAAGTAGCCTGGCTATTGCACAACAACTAGATTAGAGTTCAGCAGCACCTTAGAGACCAATAAGGTTTTCAGGATATAAGCTTTTGACAGACTCAGCGCTCCCTTTGTCAGATAGTGTCTGACGAAGGGAGCTTTGACTCTCAAAATCTCATACCTTGAAAATCTTGTTGGTCTCTAAGGTGCTACTGAACTGCAGGCCAACGTGGGCAGCCCACCTGAAAACTATCTGGGTATATTGCACATTTCAGGTCAGCAGGGCTCTCTCATGAGTAGGTGCAGTGCTGATCAGCATTCCATTGCCACAGAACACCCGGGAACAGTTGAGAGCAAAGGGTTAGGTTTTGGTCTTTTTTTTTAAATATTCTATTTATTAGGTTTTATATTATACAGCCACAGACATTTTAAATCTTTACATTCATTTTTTGGAGGTCTTGTACATAGCAAGTTTTTCCCACCATTTATACATTCTTAGCCATTTGTTTTGAAATATTACATCTTCTTTTCCACGTATTATCATTGTTAATTTGTCTAGTTCAGCTACATGTAATAATTTTTTAGCTATTTCTATTCTAGAGGGAAGCTTATCTGTTTTCCAATACTTTGCTACCATAATTCTTGATGCTGTTAATATATATGATAGTAAATATTGGCCCCGGCCATACGGGCAGGAAAATGCGGGGGGAGGCGTGGCTGTTTGCGATCAGGCGTCGGGCTGAGGTCCCGTCGAGCTCCCGTGGTTAGGGGGGAGGTACCGATCACACGACGCGGCAAAGAAGCGGAGTGGCGTGGCAAACGGGGTTGTGTTTGTTTGTTTTTAAAACTAAAATGTGCACATGCTCCATTGGGTGCTTGTGCACATCCGTGGAGACTTGGGGGGGGGGACCTTTTTTCGAGGGGACATGGGCAGGCGCCGGAACTACCACCGGAAACACGATCAGACGCCCGCCCTTGCCCCGCGGTTTCCGGAAACTAGTACCTCCGAGGTACTAGTTTCTTACCCCGCATCTTCGGCAAGAAGCCTCGGGTGAGCCACGGGAGCTCTACGCTTCCCAGATGTGACAGTGAGATCGCACCCGGAAAATCCACCTATCTTCCGTCTCTCTAGCGTGCCTTGTGCTCCGTGTGACCGGGGCCATTTATCATTTTGTTGAAGGTTATCCGGAATAATATTTAACAAATATATCTCTGGTACAGGGTTAGGTTTTGTTCTTGGGGAAGCCAGGATTGGCGGTTTCCTATTCCTTTTCAAAGGGAGGGAGGTAAATTTCCCCCAGACCTCTTCAGGATTTCTTTGTGTTAATTCATCCTGACTCTGAGTTCTTTTTAATCCCTCCATAATTTTCTGATTTTCTCCCCACTTCTGTGTGACAAGTAGTCTGAGAGGAGGAACTCAGAGGGGTGAGGTTTGTCTCCCCTGCAGCTGTTCAGGCTGGGATCGTTTGGGAACGTGAAAAGTCAAGGTGTCATCCTGTCCCTGTCCCCCCCGCACCAGATATCAAAACCTTGCTGCTAGGTTTATCATCCCTGGAGCCTGAAGGGGTGGCAAATAGGGGCTAAGGGGTACCTGGCAGGCCCCTGCTCCCTAACCGTGCCAACCACTCTGAGGGGCAGTGCTGTGTGCCACATTGGGCACTCACAGCAGGTTGTTACAGGCTCAGACAGACACCCTGTGCCTTATACGGGGATGTCAAACTGAAGGGCCAGATTCTTCTTCCAGTGGATGCCTGGGAGGCTTGCCCATAATTCTTCGTTTTAAAAAAGTCACCTCCACCTGAATTTGTTATCAAAGCATTATTTTAATTTCAATTAGTCACCAAAAGGGGTAGTAATAAAAGGGTTTTTAATGCTGCCCTGGCAATTTTATGTATTTATATATTTACTTCGGTTCATCTATACCACACCAGTCTCCTGAATGGACAAAACATTCTCTTCCCTTCCATTTTATCCTTGCAACCATCCTGCAAGGGAAGTTAGGCAAAGGGTATGACTGGCCCTAAAAGAAATCAACCCTGACTGTTCCCTGGAAGGCCAGATAATGAAACTGAAGCTCAAATACTTTGGCCACCAAATGAGAAGGGAGCACTCACTGGAGAAGACCCTGGTGCTGGGAAAGATTGAAGGTCAAAGAAGACGGGGACGGCAAAGGATGAGCTGGTTAGACAGTGTCATAGATGCAACGAACATGAAATTGAGCCAACTTCAGAGGACGGCGGAAGACAGGAAGTCCTGGCGTGATCTGGTCCATGGGGTCGCAATGAGTCGGACTCGACTGTGTGACTGAACAACAACAACAAATGGCTGGCTCAAGGTCACCCAGCAAACTTCCATGGCAAAGGGGGATTCTGACCAGGGAAGGCCTTGGCCTCTATGCCCTGTGGTTAGACATCCAGACAAACTGGTTGGCCACTGTGTGGTTGGCCACATGCTGGACTAGATGGATCACTGGTCTGATCCAGCAGGGCTCTTCTTATGTATTCTTCCATATCGTATCCTTAACTGTTACACCATTTTAACTGCTTTAAAAAGGAGATTGAGCTCCTAGTCTTGAAGATGGTTGGGTAATTTTATAGAGTGCGGTAGGGGTGCTGCAGGCCATACTGAGCTCCTCAAAGGCATAGGCTCCACTTGTTAAAGAATGAAAGCTCCTTCCTTCTTGGCAGGGAAAAGTTGTTCTCTCCCAACCGCAGGCTGGCCTTCTGCAAAAGTTTCCATGTGGCACCAACTCCTGCAAAAGGCCAGGAGGAATGAAAAGAAACTTCCTCACTTTCTCTCTTGATTTGTTTCCCCAATTCTCTGTAAAGGAGGGAGTGATGGTCTGAACCGGGGGCCTTCTGTATTCAAAGCCGTGCCACAGAGGTATGGCCCAAAGGCAGAGGAGAGTGCTTGGCAGAAAGCAGCAGGATGGCGGGGGCTTCCTTGGTCAGGCCGCCTAGTCAGTTTCATGGGCAGAGTGAGAACTGAACCAGGCAGTTCCCTGCGCCTTTTATTTATTTTAACCATTCCTGTGCCACTTTTCCAAGGCAGCTGTGCTACACTAGGTCTCAGTGATGCCGTCTCCTCCTCTTTTGTGCAGGAAAAGCTGCAGAAATGCCTGGTGCCGCTGGAACGGAAGCTGCAGGACATTGTTCACGGCAAATCCCGGGAGGAAAAGAAGCCTGGAGAGCTTAAGGTCAGTGGCACCTCCTTGCTGTTCCTTCTCTGTCACTGGGAGCTGGATTTGCTTTCTGGAGCAAGTGCTGCCTTGGGCCTGGGGTTGGCTTTGGCCCTCGGAGGCCCTGGTTCTGAACCCCGTTTGGTCTTTAGTAGTCTGTATGGATGTGTACAACTGATTGTTATTTTGGACTCCTAATCCATCAAGTCCAAGAGTTTCTGAGTGGACTGCTGTAAAATAAAATTGAAAATGAAGACCACAGTGTAAGCCTAGGTGAAGAAATAGTGCTGAAATCCCTGCATGTCCCCTTTAATTCCCCCCCCCATCCTCTTGTTGCTGCTTCCACCTATCCTGTCCCAACCAGGCTACTTTCCCAGGTTCATTGTGTCCCTCTCAGACGCAGCCTCCCCCTCTTCTTTGGGTCCCATCTCTTCCTTCCACATCTGTAATATTCCAGTCCTTCCAAACGCTAGAACAATAATAGCTGCCCCTTCCCCATTTTTGCTTTCCTATCCATATACCATCATTCCCTCTTTCTATTAGGTCTGCTTCATCCAAGCCATAAGAAACCCCCAGCTTCCCCCAACAGACCTGTCATTTAGCTGCCCTGTAGTCAGATCATGGCTCAGTTTGACTTCTCCAGCATGAACAGCTCGCGCAGTTCCCCAAGCACATGTTTCCTCCCCGACAGTGGCTGTGCTGCGGAAGGGAAGGCACGGCACCCTGTTATCAATGAGCTGTAGTCACTAGGGAATGGTCTGTGGCTCAGTGGTTGTGCATCTGGTTGGCATGCAGAAGGTCTCTAGTTCGATCCCCAGCATCTCCAGTTAAAGAGAGCAGGTAGCAAGTGATGTGAAAGACCTCTGCCCGAAACCCTAGAGTCGCTGCCAGTCTGAGTAGACAATACTGACTTTGATGGACCCAGGGTCTGAATCAGGTATGAGGGAGCTTCATGTCATCATAGACAAGTAGAGAATAGGTTCTGCTGTACTAATGAAGTTTACTGGAATAGCTGGGAAGCTACATTGCCTTGCCACTTTGTAAACTGTTTTAATAACTCAACTTCACTAGCCCAGCAGTATACGACCTGGGTTCCAGTGTGTATAATATTTAATATTTGTTTATTTGGTACATTTAACAAGCTGCCTTCCTGTCATTGCATCCAAGAAGACTTACAGTTCAAAATGACTTCCTACTATATAATACAAACACCAAAGGGGGGGGAAAGGGGAAGATTCAAAAATAAACATAATGACTAGATGGACTGGTCACACATGGGAAGCTGTCTTATACTGAATCGGATAAACAAATATAAAGCCAACAGTCGTGATAGTCTGACCCGCAATCAACAGTCATAAGACTTATAAGGAATGCTGTACATGTATTGTGCTCTGAAGCATTACAATATGATACACAACTTAATATTAATAGAATTTATAAACCAAGGTACAACATCGTCTCCGGATTATTTACCAACGTTTCAAAAAATGAATCTTCTTCAGGAGATATTATAGAGGTGCCAAAGCTCTCATTTTCATAAAAGTTAGACAACAAGTCTTAAGCATACAATTCAGATAGGACGCTGATCTCAATTAACACGCAGTCCATCAGGGTCAGTATGGTCCACTCAGACTGGCAGTGACGTTCCTGGGTCTCAGGCATAAATGTTTCATATCACCTCCTGCCCGGTCCTTTCAACTGGAGATGCCGGGGATTGAACCCAGGGCCTTCCAGATGCTCTGCCACTGAGCCACAGTTCCTCCCGCCCTGGTCACTGCAGGAGGCAGTTTGAGAAGGGAGGAATCAAATGGCAGCAGGTACCTGATGGCTCAGGCTGACGAAGGGGGCCTCACTGCCTCGCCTCCTCCCTCTGGTGGGCTTCATCTTGAGAATAGGGTGGGAAGGAGCAGGGCCTGTTTTCCAGATTTTGTCCCTGGTCACGTAACTCAGATGGATGAGAGAAGCATGTCAGATTCTAGGCAACCAGGTAACCAGGCATCTGGCATTTTCACCTCACTTTGTTGATCACTCTTGCCTCTCACCCAGCTAAATACAAAGCTTGTAAAAATAATACTTTTCACAGTTTCCTTCATGTCCTTTGGAACAGCCTGTTGATTGTGGCTTTTGTGGCAGGGGGAGCGTAAAGCATACACCATCCTGCTGGAAGCAAAAATATGCTGGGGGTGGGGTATAGTGACAGAAATGTCATCTAACTTTCATAGAATGAAAGCAGTTAAGGCAGTTTTTAATGTTTCCTTTTTTTGTTCTCTACAGTGTCCAGAGGCCAAACTAGCATACAAGATAATGTATTAATGAGGCTTAGGAAAAAGATGTGGGAATGAAATTGCAGAATGCTGAAATGGTAAAATAGGCTGCACCCACTTTAGGTGAAAGATTTTGGAATGTTCCCCAGTATTGAAACTCCCTGGAAATAAAAAGGCAGCTCAGTACGGGGAGAGATGGGGTAGAATCTTTCTCCTTTCCAGCCTGGCTTTCTAAGTGCAGAGGAACATTCAGAGCTAGTAGTGCAAAAGAATAGTAATCTAGTCTGCTGTTTGTTGTACATATCACTTCCCTCTTTTAGTACGATCTTCTCTACCTTTGTAAAAAACAAAAACAAAACCCTTTTTCTTCATGGTGGTATGTCATGCTTTAGATGGGTTTTCATTTCCATCGTTCTTCCGGTTTTCTAAACCTGGTCAACTATTTATTTGGAGGCCTTTGCTGTCTGAATTTGTTTTCATGTTTTCTAATCCACCTTCAGTCTCACTATAAATGAAGTTAATAATACATCGACGTCAAGGCTCTGCCGTGTCCTCCTCCTTCATGTTTGAACCCAGGCTTTGAGTTGAGTCAGTGTGATAGAATACTTAAATACTGGACCAGCTGTGCCATTTTATTTGCCATGTCCCAACTATGTATCACTTTACTAGTCCTCATTGTGCAGTTGCTCAGTTTCATTGGGCGCGCACGCACAACGCCACTGTCAGTTTTGCTCTTACTCAAGCCTTCTGCCCTCCCTTCTGCAGCGAAAGGTCGAGAGCCGCCGACAGCTCATCATCAACGAGTTTGAGGAGCTGCACCAGTTCCTGGAGGAGGAGCAGCAGATCCTTCTTTCGCGGCTGGAGGATGAGGAGAAGGAGATCCTGCAGAAGCTGAAGGATAACGTGGCCCAGCTGTCGGAGCAGCGGCTCTCCCTCAACAACCTCATCACGGAGATCGAGGAGAAGTGCTTGCAGTCAGGCATAGAGATGCTCAAGGTGAGGGCTTCTTTCTTTGGGTTCCTTTGAAGAAGGGAGGCTTAGCACTTCAAGACTGCTTCGGAAGCCAGGGAACTGGATGACTAGAAAGAGACCAGTTAACTGCATCCGGGAGCTAAAGCATGAGAGGTGTTCCGTCTGCGGTGCAGTGGGAGAGAGGACCTGGGCGGGCCAGGGAGATTTTGGAGTTCTGTCGCTGCTCCTTGTAACTGAGCCAGCTGAGGGCAGAGATTTAAAAAATGGTTTAGAGACCAAACAGAGCATATTGGTTTTCTACAAACCCAAGTGATCAGGGATTTTGGATGCTTCCAGTCATGTAGGAGAAAGCTCTTTCAGATCTTTGACATGGACTGCTAGAGGCAGTGCTTTGCTGCATGATTCTGGCAGCCAGGTCTGTCTTCACATTTTTAAGAATTTCAGATTTTTCCAGTGTTCCTGACCACAGAGATGATGCCTACAAGCATTGGCTTCCTGTGCTCATTGGTGCTGTGTCCCCATTTGGGTGAACATGTTCTGTGGCCAGTGTGCTTGGCCCTGCGTTCCTTCTGTGCATGCAGCCTTGTCCACTAATAAAGCTGTGTGTTTATTTAGTTTATTCATAGTCTTTATTTCTCACCATGTTTCAAGATGGTTTACACCCAGCCCCATAGTCAGGATTCTTTTTGGAGAGAGCCCGGGGGGGGGGGGGCTCTTTCTCAAGATGCTCCCAAGCTCAGGAAAGGACCAAACCCTGGGAGCGGGGACCAGGAGAGATCTTGGCAGTGCTACTTTGAAACAAGGCCAACGATGGGGCTCAGATTGACTCGTCCCCCACCCTGCATTTTTCTCCTATCCTGGAAGCGATCAGGAAGGGCATGGGGTGGACGGAGAATAAAAGAATACAGAGCTGTTTACATCGGTGTTCTGGTAGGCGGTACTGGCGATGAACTGGGTCTCTGGGAAGGTGAAGGTTTGCACCCTGTCAGGCTGGCTGGTGTCTTCCATGCGGTCCTCGTTCACCTCCACCACGTGCAAGCAGAGCTGGTATTTGTGCAGGGACTTCAAGACTACCATCTGCCAGGCAGAGGAGAGGGAAGGGATGAGGTGGGGCAATGAGGTGCCTGGCCAGGAAAGAGTCCTGCTGCCTTCCCCACCTTTGGAGAGAAAGCCACTGACCCACAAAGCCCCTTTTTGTTCCTCTCAACTCCACCGTGATTGTTCAAGAAAGCGTCCCATGTGGTTTCCAAGCAAAAGCCTCCGTTGCGCTCTGTCCCAAAAGGGGGAATGGGATTATCGGGATTCTACATCAAAAACAATAAAAACCCGATCCACAGCAGACCCCCCCCCAAAAAAGGCCCCCAGGTTCCCTAAAGAGAGGCACATTTGCAAAGCAAAAACCAAGGCATTGGAGAGAGAGACTGTCTCGCCTCTGCAAAATCCCCAGTGGGCCCCTTTCAATTTTGCTCAAAATCTAAACTAGGAAAGGATTAAAAATATTCCCTAGCGAACGTCATTTTGGGGAAGCAGCTCCCCCACTCTCCACCCACCCCTCTCAGCCAAAGCATCAATGGGGAACCTCTGCTTTGTGTTGCCTTGCTACAGCCGGATCCCTGCCATTGCTGAATGAAAGGGGAAGGTCAGCCAGGAAACTCACCTCCTGGGCTGTTCCCCACTGCAGCTGCCCTCAGAAGCGCCTTCCGCCCTCCGAGCTGCCGGATCCCTGGGAAGCACCCTGCTGCTCTTGATCGTGGCGGACCCTTGACAGGCAAATGGTGCACCTCTCAGGGGGTGCAAGGGATGCCCTGTGGGCACACTGCAAATTCAAAAGAGGGAGGAGCCTCGTGTGCCCTGCTGCTGTCTACGGCCCTGATTATGCCCTATGGCCCTGATTGCACCCTGTTATCAAGACAATCAGGATGAGGCATTTAATAAGCAATGTAATACAAGTAGGATTATATAAAACTTGAAATCAGAACACAAGCATTACATGTGATATGTTACATAATGTAGAAAAATGGTATTACATAAGTAGAAAACAGTGCAGTGAGAACAAGATAATGTATATAGCCAACAGGCAATAAGAACATAAGAGATGCCAATGTTGGATCAGGCCAAAGGCCCATCTAGTCCAACACTCTGTCACACAGTGGCCAAAAATACCAGGTGCCATCAGGAGGTCCACCAGTGGGGCCAGGACATCAGAAGCCCTCCCACTGTTGCCCCCTCCCCCCCAAGCACCAAGAAGACAGAGCATCACTTGCCCCAGAGCCCCTATCTATACCTTGTGGCTAATAGCCACTGATGGACCTCTGCTCCATATGCCTATCTAATTCCCTTTTGAAGCCGTCCACGCTTGTAGCTGCCACCACTTCCTGTGGCAGTGAATTCCAGGTGTGAATCACTCTTTGGGTGAAGAAGTACTTCCTTTTATCCGTTCTAACCCGACCGCTCAGCAATTTCATGGAATGCCCACGAGTTCTTGTATTGTGAGAAAGGGAGAAAAGTACCTCTTTCTCTACCTGCTCTTTCCCATGCATAATCTTATAAACCTCAATCATGTCACCCCTCAGTCGTCTTTTCTCCAAGCTAAAGGGCCCTAAGCAATACATAATATTTGCTGCGGCACAGTTCACAGTGCTGTTGTTCAGTCACACAGTCGAGTCAGGCTCCCTTTATTCCCTTTATAAAAACACCATCAGAAGGCCCTGCTCAACTTAGCTAAGCTGTCGTGGTAGAGCATAGGAGGAGAGGTGGTCCTGCAAATATGAGGGTCCAAGGCTGTGAAGGGCTCTGCATGTGACGGCCAGTACTTTGCACTGAAGCCCGTGCCTGATGGCCAGCCAGTGGAGTGCCTGCAGAATGGGTGTGATCTGTAGGCTCTGCCTAGTTCATATTCACTTGGCCCCTGTTGGCAGCTGGCCCTGAGCAAATGCCCCTTTTGCCCATTGGGTAAAGTGGCCCTGGTGGTAACACATTGGCTTATTTCAGCTACGATGGCCTTAGTCAGCTACTGGAAATAAAGAATGTTTTCAACCAATAGCACAATAAAATTTGAGATGTAGCACAAATGGACAAGTTTTGCCAACAAGGAAAGCTGGCAAATTTTCCGAACTCTGATTACTCTGACTGACCTGTGGGAAATGTACCAGAAGGCTCTAGCCACCAACAATGTATTTCTGTGTTAAAAATCTCACTTGGTATGCAATACCAATAGTCTTCGTGTATACTAGATTACTGCATGTAACTGTTACTTTAGATCATTTTGTTTCAGGCTGCTAATGGTGTTCCTTATTAATTTGGTTCTTGCCTGAAAAGATCATTAGGCAGCACAAGGGCAGGGCAGAATGGGAATGCCACTGGGGAGTGTGAAGATGAGATCGGCTGGTGAGGTTCTGATTCCTGCACTGTGCTTATAATTGGGAACATCTGCACAGGAGTAATGTTTCTGAATTTTACAGAGTCATGTATGGAGATGAACTGATTTGCACATAGTGTCCAGCATTTGAATCCTTTCCATGCTTTTGCTTATAGCATTTTGATTTCTCACTTTCAGTTAGCCATTGCCTATGCCGTGAAGCTAAGCAAGGGTTGTGGCTCAGTGGCAGAACATCTACCTTGCATACAGAAGATACCAGGTTCAATCCCTAGCTTCTCCAAGTAAAAGGTTAAAAACTGGCTTAGGAGTTCTCTCTGTACATAATGGGGAAAGGGGGCGAGATAAAATATGGTAAATAAAGACCTCACTCTACCAATGATCCTGGAGAGCCACTGTCCATCAGAGTAGACAATACTGAGCTAGATGGAAAATAACTCGCTTCAAGGTCGTTTCATATCTGTATATCTAATTTTCAATGTGGTCAAATCTTTGGTTACTGAAAGCCAGAGATTGGAGCCATGAAGAGACAAGACATCTTTTACAATCCTGAGGAAAGCTTCAGGTTTTCAGAAAAAACAGAAATCTAAATAAAAAATATTTTGTGGGTCAACATGCCTCAGTGTCTGTTGCTAGGCAACCACAACAGTATTGCCAGTTGAAGCCTTGGTTTGTTTCAGGAAAAGCTAGGGGAAGGGCCCTTTTTAGGGCTGTTTTATTCTTTGTGGGAGGACGCGCTTGGGCTGGGCTCACCAGCAGCCACCAGTCGACTTACTATTTATTTATTTTTTATTTTATTTATTTGATTTTTATCCTGCCCTCCCCCTGTCTTGCATGACTCATCCAGCTGCTCACTGTGGTTCAACAGCAGCCATCCCATAAAAGCCAGTGTTGTATACTGGTTACAGTTTCAGATTAGGATCTGGGAGACCCGGGTGACCTTGGGTCAGTTATACATTTTCGTCCTAACCTACCTCACAGAGTTGTTGTGGGAATAAACTGTAGGAGAGGAGAATTATGTAAGCTTTGGTTCCCCATTGTGAAGTAAGGACAGGTATATATGAACTAAATAAATAATCAGTACAGCTGAAGATGGGGAGGCAAATAAAAAATAGGCTGGTTGGTAAGTGGGAAGGAGAGAAGGAAGCAAGGTAAGGTAAGAATACAGGAGTTGCCAGGACGAGGGGAAGAGGAAACAGTGTGGGGAGGGGGTGATGCAAGGGAAAGTAAGGTGTCATCCACAAGTCCTTGCCGGTTCTACAACATGCAGTGGGGCCCAGCCTGGCAGCTAACGCTGCAAACTTGGCAATAGTTTTCCTTGTAGAGGCTGCCAGAGGGAGTGAAAGCTGAAGACATGGGGGCAGATAAAGGTAGGTTTTCTGGTGGTTGGGAAAGAGACGGAAGCAGGAAGAAGGGAGAGGCTATGGGGGCTTTCAGGGAAGGGAAAGTGGAATAGTGGGGGAAGGGGAAATGAGATGCCCCCTGCAAGTCCCTGCATGTCCCCTGCTTGTGTCCATATAAATGTAAAAAGGGACAGAAAGATGTGGTTTGTGTTGGCTAAAGACAACATAGGTGGGATCCTTCCAACTTCACCTTCTAAACTGAACGGAAGGATATTTGTGTGATTCACTGGGTGAGTTTCTTCATGATCTGATGAGGCCTTACCAGCCTGACTTCTTTTATTTCTCATGCAGGATGTCAAGAACACTCTGGAAAGGTAAGGGCCAGATCCCTCTCTGTTCCTCCCAGTATCCTGGTGGTTGCTTATTGTAGCTTTGTGGGCCCATCCCTCTCCCAAAACGCCAATGGGAAAGTCACTCAACAATAACAAAAACCACAGCATGTAAAATCTGGCTATATATATTGTAAATAATGTCATAGAAGTAATACAAAACTCTATTGAGTATCAGTAATATCACAGCATACTGTATCTGAACATGTAGCTGTCATAACTTTGAAGCAGAATGAAATTGTCAATCTCTTTTCTAAAGCCAGCTAAATTAGGGGCTGTTCATAATTTATTCTGGTGGCTGTGGAGTGGGGCAAAAAGCTGTAGAGGGCTTTGAGGCTATGATTCCTAGAAAACCCGGCCCATCCCTACTGAACTGCTGCAATTTCACCACCAGACGTAGCCAACACAACTGTGAACCATGTGAGATCTGAATTTCTGGTGAGCATGAGATGGAAGGTGATTAGGGGATTTCTGTAGGAGTGGCCTCACCTCCCTTGCATTTCCTCCGTTGCCTTACAGATGTGAGGCGATCCAAGCCCAAGAGCTGACTTTGATTTCCATCGAGCTGGAGAAGAATTTCTGCAACTTCCCCAGACAGTACTTCATCCTGCGCAAAATCATCAAAAAGCTGACAGGTAAGTTAGTGCAACTGAGTGTTATTTCTAAGGGAGGAGGGAGGGTGACCCCCTTTCCTTTTTTTGCAGGTTCATCCCAGTGTTAAGAAACCTCTGTTCAAAATTAAATTGACAGATTAGTAAAGTCTAGCTAGTTTTGCTTAACATATATCCCTTACTATAAAACAGATTGTTATGGAATGTAAAACTTGTGTAGAGGGGTGTGGTGTTGGGTAAACATGTGCAAAGGAAGCAGGAAGGAAGGAGTCTGTATTTGTGTGTAGCAAAACTATAGTGACAGCCCTGTAGAACAGAGACCTTATTTCCATAGATAGATAGATTGAGAGATAGATTGAGAGATAGATTGAGTGATAGATGCTATAAAGTGTGTGTGTACACACAAACACTTATTTTAAAGAATTCTTTTAAAGAACCAAAGATAATATTTATGGCACATCACGCAGTATTACAGGAACATGAAGTCACTATTGTCTCTTGTGGGATATATCCGAGGGCAAAAAGCCATTATAAGAAACTTGCATGTAAACAAGTTATTGTCATTTCGGTTAGAAATTTGTTTTGGCCGCTTTTAGAAGGTCAAGAAATCTCACAGTATTATGAAACACCAGGCAATAGAAAATTGAAGGCCCAGTGAATAGGTCCATCCTCTCATTCCGCTCACTAACCGTTTAGCTCTTTGCCCCTGCTCACTCTACAGGCTAACCCCAAAAGCAGCGTTTGACCATTTTTTCCTCCTATCATGAACACTGTTTTCAATAAGTTTTGTTTGACAAAACCCCCACCCCTATTCTGTAAAAGACATCAACTAGAATACTTAAGTTTAACAACATGCAACATTTGTATGTTAATTTGTTCAAATGTTAATGCATTTTGGATATTTGTTCACTTAAACACCACTGAACCTGGGCCAAGGTGTTCCAGTTGCCTTCCTTTTTGGCACAAGAACTCCATTATCATTTTGATGTTGGTGGACAATTTAGAGACCATGAGCATTATTTTCTGATGAGTTAAGCCTGCCACGAACATCACTACTGGGATAGATAGCATGGGGGAGGGGGCTGTCTGGCTCTAATTTAACAAAGTTTGGATCCAGTGGCACCTTTAAGACCAACAAAGCTTAATTCTGGGTATAAGCTTTCATTTTTGGTAGTGCCACTCCCATGATTGTCCTAACATTGTGGCCAGTTTTCAGATGCCTAGGTTGTGTTTCCCCCCCCCCTGACTAATTATGCCTGCCACAAACAGAGAGCCTTAGCTTCCATTGTGAATGGCTTGCCAGGGTGGGGGGATGGAAGAAACCTGGGCCACTATGTCCTGATTCTCTTCCTCTTTTGCCACTGTAACTGCCCTCACCATCCTTAAGTTGCTGGCCAATTTTGAGCCTCCTAGCCTTATTTTTCTGATGCATTTTGCTTGCCGTAGACAGATGGACAGAAAGATTCCTCCCTTTCATAGAATCATAGAGTTGAAAGGGGTCATACAGTCCATATAGTCCAACCCCTTACTCAGTGCAGGATCAGCCTAGAGCATCTAGGGTTACCAAGTCCATCTTCCACCCCTAGCAGGGGACTTTGGGGGTGTTCCTGGAGGGGGTGAGGCATCCCCGACATGATGACGTCACGTTGGGGACGTCTGCTGCCCCCCCCCCCACACACACACGCCAGATCTCCAGACATGGCAGTTCCCTGCACTTAAAGGAGCTGGCGTTTCCCCTTTAAGAGCAGCCGCGTTTCCCTTTTAAGTGCACGAAGCTGGCATTTCCCTGCAAGCCTGATCTCAAGCAGAGATCGGGCTTGGGAGGAAACACGGGTTCCACACACTTAAAGGGAGAGGGGGGGTGGCTGTGGGTGTTGGGGGTGGGGCTTCCCCCGCTGGGTAGAAACCCCCCCCCAAAAAAAGGGGGACCCTTGGCAAGCCGGGGGGTTTGGCAACCCTAAGAGCATCTCTGACAACATATTCTACAACTGTGGATAATTTTTCCAGAAAACTGTTATGGCTACCTTCTGTCATTCAGATCTATCCCCTCTCCCCTTACATTTTCCTAAGAATGGCATTGGTTAAGTAAAGTCAGTATCCATCATTGGTTCTTGTCATCTGCTGAATCATGTCTGCCATCTCTCATTTTGAAGAAGGAAATTCCTCAATTAGAGTATTGTCTCAAAAGGGGGACTATTAGCTATTTTATAACAAGCCTGCTAATGAACAAAATCAGAAATTCACAATAAAACTGTGTTGCTCCTAAAGTGGGACAATTACTATTCTAGCTAAGCTATTCACAGTGGAATAGCTGATGCTTGTGCCAAGATTATGCACTTAGTTTCTTCTGTTTGTTATTCTGGATAAAATGCCTAAAAATGCCTAGGCACTGTATAAAGATTTTAAAGTTTTGGTATTGACCTTGCATATCTAAGAGCTGAGTTTAAGCACTGATTTCTTTTTTATCTGTGTAGGTGTGAAAAGCCAGGGTAAAGAGTCCAATGCCAAGTGTAATCTGTTCTGATCCAGTTCGAGCCATGAAGAGTCCTCTTCCTTAGAATAATTAACTAATGTCAATAAGAGAGAAGCATGGTAATGCAGAATAATAATCAGAGTTAGTTGTTCTTCCGGGCTCTTTTTTTGGGCCAGATAGCGTAGCGATGGTCCTCCACGCTATGCCCCCTTCCTGGGCTCGGGGACCCATTCACACATGCGGATATAACCTTTGTCGCGGTGAGAAGTGCCATCAAATCGCAGCTGACTTATGGTGGCCCTGTAGGGTTTTCAAGGCAAGAGAGAAAGGGGGTTTCCAATTGTATGGCTCTGCGTAGGGACCCCGGACTTCCCTGGTGGTCTCCCATCCCAAGTGCTACCCAGACCTGACCCTGCTTCGCTTCTGAGATCTGACGAGATCGGGCTAGCCTGGGCCGTCCGGGTCAGGGCACGGCCTTTCTAGAGAGAGCCCAGCCTGACTTGCAGGGGTCGCCACAATCAGCACAGCTCATTTCCCACTCCTGTGAGTCACAGGAAATTGTTTCCTGTCCGGACCTTTAGCGGACTTTGTTAGAATTGGTTGAGTGAAATGTTATAGATAGGCGAGAGGGAATAGGTTACAAGCATGAGGGGACATCATGGGACAAATATGCATTATGCTTTTTAAAAATTATTTGGATATTTATATGTTGCTTTTCTGCCTAATGGGCGTACAGTGTTGTTTTCTCTTCCTCCCTTCTGTTCTTACAACAACTTGGCCCAGGGAGCCTCCGTGACAGAATGGGGATCCGAACGTGGGTCTCCCAGTTCCTTGTCTGACACTTCATCCACTGCCCCACACTGGGCATAAGGGTTTTCCTGCCTTTATGTCCATGGGCTTGTGGGTTGGCCTGTCAAGGCGTGGAGCTGTGCTCAGACAACCCTTGGAATCCACATCAGATGTGACTGTGTGAGGTACCTTGGGATATCGTGGATACTTCATGGGTTTCAGCCTAGTTGCTCACTCCTCATGTTGACAGTCGACTGCTTTCTCTAGAGGCTCCTTTAAAGAGCTGTGCCAGAGGATCTCTGTCCTTGTGCATCTGCTCCTGGCGAACAACAGTTCTCTCCAGCAGCACCGCTGCTGATCTAGCACCTGGGCTCAGAACAGCAGTTAGCTCTGGGTCCTGGCAGCACACAGAACAACTTCCTTCTGAACACTGTGCTGGAAGGGAGTGTTTGTAGCTCCTAGGAAGAATGCTGAGGTTTAGCTGTCTTCTTAAACGAGGGATTGCTGTCTCCTGCTTCTAACCAAGTAAGCTAAAAGCTTCCTAGAATTCCCTTTCTCCCCCCCCCCCCCCTGAACCCTGGTTTTTGCAACATCCTGAAAAGAGCCCCATGGGTTGTGATTTCATATTCTCTAGTCCTGCATAAAGAGGTATGGAGAATGGTGGCAGGAGACACTTGAGGAAGAGTGGGATGATGGAGTCGTAGAGGGCTAATTCAAGACAAGTAGTGTTGGAGGCACTGGGCGATAGGCGGGTTGGGGTGTCTGGAGAATCTCAGCCCCTGAGATCTGAATGTTCACTGTCTGTGACCATCTTGGTTACATACTTAGTGGCTTTCTTATAGAAGTGTCGTCGCAACTAAAGCATTGGTTACCTTTGGTAGGCAGTAGAAATGTGACGCTTTAAAACAGAGATGTCGAACTTACTTGTTATGAGGATCGGTTCTGACATGAGTCACGTTGTCGGGCTGGGCCGTGTGTGCTATAAAATGTAATGCCAGGCACCAGAGACATTTGACTACACCCCCTCCTATAACCCCTCCTCAGCACCCCTCCACGCTTTGCTTGATATGCCCGAGACGTTTTGCACAGCACAGAGAGCTATTGCCTGACAGTCAGAGCGCAACAGCTCTTGTGGCTCTTTAAGGACTAACACATTTCAGAAGCTTTTGATGAGCTAGAGCATGAAGTGGTGCAGTCCATTGCCGCACATGTGGCAGCCAAAGACAGGTGGCCAAGTGGCATCAACCAGGGAAACCCAGCAAGCCCTGCCTTAAAGAAACTCCTGCAGTCAACAGACTTTGGGGAGGGGAGGAGGCTGAAGCAGCCACACAATCACACACCTCCCTCTGTCAGAGTCCCAAATTCAGCAACAAGCTTGTACCACAAGGGGAACTGCAGTGCTCCCCAGCACCACAAGCCAGTTTGGTGTAGAGGTTAGGAGCACAGACTGTAATCTGGGAGAACCGGGTTTGAGTCCCCGCTCCTCCACATGCAGCTGCTGGTGTGATCTTGGGTCAGTCACAAGTTCTCTCATAGCTGTTCTCTCAGGAGCAGTTCTCGAAAGAGCTCTCTCAGCCCCACCTACCTCACAGGGTGTCTGTTGTGGGGAGGGGAGGGGAAAGGAGATTCCAGTCCAATCCAATTACCTTTATTGGCATGTAACACTCGCAAACTCATGTACAACAATAACACCAACGACATAAAATAATACTACAAAAAACCAGATATAAAAGGAATTGCCATATAAATATGCCAGTGATAGAAAACCGATCAATTAAATAAAGAAAGAAATTTTGCAACAGTTTCTGTTATCTCACAATTTGGATTATCAAGAAGAGTAAGGATCTTTAAACCATCAGCGTACTCTTCTAATTGAGTCAAAATAGGGTTTAAGAATTCCAGACGTAGCGCATAGTAGAAGGGGCACCGCAACAGTACACAGGAGGTCGTTTCGATATGGTCCTTTGTGCAGGGGCAGCATCTGTCAGAGAAGGGCACACCCTGAAGGAAAGCGGCCATATGAGAAGGCCGAAGGAAGTACATTGGATCTGGCCATAGAAAGGGCTCTACAGAGTTTCGGAATAGGAATAAGGGGCAACTTGGGCAACTTTAGGGAATATTCCAGAATACAGAAGTGAACACAGTTTTTGTTAGCGGCGTTATATAATGAATGTGACTCAGAGTGAAGTAGATTGGTTCTTATAATTGAAAAAGCCTCGGATTCAGGAGTAAGGAATCTAAGGTAATCTCCAGGGATTTAATTTTGGATTCTACGTAGGTAATCCAATTTAAGTCATTAGATTCTGATAAAAGCTGATAGGTATAACTACAAGGATCTGAACTGAAAAGGAAGCAAAGCCAATATTTAGTAGTAGTAAGCCACGCTTTAGTTATCAGCATGTTCTGGCTGCATTCCAGGCATAAAGCTGCATAGGGAATGCACTTTGGAACCTCAAATATTTTCCTCAGGAAATAAGACTGAGGCTGTTCTATGGATCCAAATGGGCACCCCATATAATAGCTGGGCCCCTGTTTTGGCATTGAAGGCTTTTAAAGCAGTGGGTATGTACTGGTTACCTCTTCCTGAGAAGTAAAATTTACAGATTGCTGCCACATTAGCCGTATTAATTGCCGTTTTTCAGTGACAAACCCAAGAGACGTTATATTGGAAGTGAACACCAAGATATTTAAAAGTCTTAACCTGTTGCAAGGAATGGCCATTAATATTCCAATCATAGACCTCCCAGGAATTGGAAAAGATCAGTACTTTGGACTTCCCGTAGTTTAGCTCCAGATGGTTTGCGGCATAATATTCATAGCAGCGATTAAGTAAACGCTTCAACCCCAGATGAGTAGACGACAAAAGAACCGCGTCATCAGCATACAGAAAGTAGAGAAATATGCACAGAGCCAAGTCTGGGGCTGTGGCCATCCACTGAAGACAGAAAGGGGGCGAGGTCATTTAAGAAGATATTTAAAAGGGAAGGGGCCAAAATACAGCCTTGCTTAACCCCGTTATTTATAGTAATCATTGGGGTGAGTGTGAAAGGAGATTGTAAGCCAGTCTGAGACTCCTTCAGGTAGTAAGGGCAGGGTATAAATCCAGACACTTCTTCAAGCTCGGCTACTCTCCTAAGATGTCCGCTCCACTTTAATTGTCCTTTGCAAACGTTTATTTCCTGCCAGCTCCACGACATTATCCAACCACCCAATACATTACTCCCCCTGTGCAAGCACACAGATGCACATCTGGTGTCTGCCTCTGCTGTGCACATACTCAGCCCTTTTCTGAATGTCTGCTCCCGCTCCTGACCTTTGCTTCACACACACGCTGCTGCCATTCAGACTGTTCCATAAGGCAGTGTTTGTGTGCAGGGAGCCTGGGGAGCATGCATGTGTTTCAGCTTCCCCCTTATTTAATCTTCCCCGCGCTGCTGTGTTAGCCGAATTGCTTTATCTACAGCAATTGGCAATTTAGATGGGTTCTTGCCAGTGTTTACCAAGGTCCTGTTCCCACCAAGGGTTATCAGTAAAAGGAGTCGAGGCTGGTGTTGTTAAAATAACTGTCTTTTACTTAAGAATATAAATCACATACAATACTGATGCACGCACACATTCAGTCAAGTTCCTTAGAAATACAGTAGTAAAATGAGCACTTTTGCATTAGCAGGTAGGGTTGATGATGGGTGATACTTATCTGTCTTCACAGCTTGGTGATCCCAATGAAGAATGGATAGGGAGAAAATAGAAATCTACAGGAGTTTAACACACGACCAGAACCAGCCAGCACGTGTGTGTAGTAGAGGCAAGGGTTGGGGATAGCAAGCTGGACAAAAGGGGAGTTAAAGCAGACGGGGGATGTTGCGGGGGCGGGGGGGGGGATGATGCTAGCTACTTGATCAAGTAGAGAGAGAGAGAGACCATGTGACTGGTTCTCTTCTTTTATCGGAGATCCAGGAGATGGGTGTTGACGGTACCAACCTCCTGGCCCACTTTCCTGTTAGTCCGTCCCAAAACTAATCCTATTGGTTACCTACAGGAGTGGGAGGTTGCCTATAAGGAGTGGTCAATATTGAAATCTAATACCTTACTCAAAGAGGGCCATCTGGTCAGGTGTGAAACCTTGGTGTCAAGAGGCTTCCTTGAGTGTAGATGAAGCTTGGCCATTCCCTTTGTGAAACAAATGCCCATTTGACAGGAAATACCAATGTAGAACAAAGCATGGATGTGTTGTACGTGGTCCTGACTCAGCAATGGGGGCTGTTCCTTCTCAAGTTGTGTTTTTTCTTACTGCTCACAATAATGGAGGTGTGTGTGCTTCTCCACCAGGCTGACAACTGTGTAACTGAAACCTCATTCACATGTAAGGCTTGTGCAGGCACCTTCTATGTGTAGTATCACAGCAGGTGACTTGTACAATTCTTTGAGCCTGTGTGTGTGTGCACAGTCCATTGTGTGTGTAGCAACAAATATAGTCCATAAAGCAAAATATCAAGTTAATTCTCTAACAGCTGGGGGAGGGAGCCAGGGGAGGAGCCACACACATTTGGGTCAGCAGGCTCCAGCTCAGCTGACTTGGCAGGCCTCCCCCACCCCCAACCCTCAGCGTTCTGCAGGGATGGCACCCCTTACATAAGCATCAGGCTTTTCTTACTTGCCCTGGGCTGCAGCACACAGCAGGCCGGGCCCAGCCAGTTGCTCTGTTCACATGCTTACATAAAGGGGCATGTTTGGCGAGCTGGCCAGCAGCTTTTCACAGGTGCCTGTGCCCATGGGGACCTTCCCTGGGCTGCCTGCCAGTGGGAAGCCACTTGGCTGGACTTAGGGAGATGAGGCTATACATGAACAGCCAGCCATCTTTCCAGCAGCCCAAGCAGCAGAAGCAGGAGCCCAATAGTTTGGTGTAGTGGTTAAGTGCGCGGACTCTAATCTGGGAGAACCGGGTTTGAGTCCCCACTCCTCCACTTGCACCTGGCGGGATGACCTTGGGCAAGCCGTAGTTCTGATAAGAGCTGTTCTTGAAAAAGAGCAGTTTCTGTCAAGAGCTCTCTCAGCCCCACCTACCTCACAGGGTGTCTGTTGTGGGGAGGGGAAGGGAAAGGAGTTTGTAAGCCGCTCTGAGACACCTTTGGGTAGTGAAGGGGGGGGTATAAATCCAATCTCCTCTTCTTCTTCTTCAACACACTCTGGCCAGTGGCAGACAGCCCATCCCAGCCTGGCACTCTGCCTATACAGAGCTCGGAGCCAAACCAGCCCTCCTCACTCCCTTATAGTTGCCAACTCTGGGTTGGGCAGTCCCTGGAGATCTGGGGGAGGGCCTGCATTTGGGGAAGGGAGGGACCTTAGCAGGAGGTGTGATACCCTAATATAGACCCATCCAGTCCACATTCTGACGGGTTTCCCCCCAGTTGCTTATGGGCCAGATAAGGGCTCTGGATGGGCTGCTTCTGGCCCACAGGCCGTATGTTTGACATGTCTACTTTAAAAGAAGCATTTTGAATTGTGATGTTGATGGCCAGAGTGGGCATGTGCTAGACCAGAGATCTAAAGCTTGAGGGGATGACCAGAGAGGTAGCAGGAAATGCCTTTAAGAGATCTAAAGCATGAGGGGTGACTGGAAGAGTAGGGGGAAATGCCCTTAAGAGATGCTTTTTGAATCCGTTGTCAAGGGTAATTTAGTACAAAGGCAAGAAAGGATACAGTCACCAATGCTCCCTCTAAGCTATGGAGTCCTGTGAGCAAAAATTCTGCTTTGTGAGCAACTGGCATTAAAGCTGTGAGCGAGCAATTTGGCTCCTGCCTAAGTTAGTTTGCTCTGGAGCCATCCTTCCTGAGCTAAGGCAAAAAGGTGTGAGCCGGAGGCTAAAAAAACTGTGAGCTAGATCACACTAACTCAGCTTAGAGGGAACACTGACAGTCACCTACCCGTGATTAGAACAGAGCACAGACAAGTCTCTCTCTCTCTTTTCCTATAGGAAATTTGACCCTTGACCCTGAAACGGCCCATCCCAACCTTGTGCTCTCCGAGGACCGCAAGAGCGTCAAGTTTGTGGAGCAGCGTCTGCGAGATCTGCCGGACAGCCCGAGGCGCTTCAGCGTGTACCCTTGCGTCTTGGCAACTGAAGGCTTCACCTCGGGCCGCCACTACTGGGAGGTGGAAGTGGGTGAAAAGACCCACTGGGCCTTGGGGGTTTGCAACGACTCTGTAAGCCGCAAAGGGGAGACGACTTCTCTGCCAGAGACTGGCTACTGGCGAGTGAGGCTGTTCAATGGGGACAAGTATGCAGCGACCACCACCCCGTTCACCCCACTCAATGTCACTGTCAAACCCAAGCGAGTGGGCGTCTTCCTGGACTACGAGGCTGGCAAGCTGTCATTCTACAATGTGACAGACCGTTCCCATATCTATACGTTTACTGACAACTTCACCGAGAAACTTTGGCCTCTCTTCTATCCAGGGATCCGTGCCGGCCGCAAGAATGCTGCCCCCCTGATCATCAGGCCCCCCACGGACTGGGAGTGACCACAGAGTAGGATTAGCCCTGACTTTCTCTACTTGGAAGGGGGTGGGAGAGGGAAACGGCTGCTTGGAGTCCCAGCAGTGTCACTCCAGCAGATAAGGACAGAAATGGCACCAGAAGGAAATATTGCAGAGGGTGTGCTCTCCAAAAAAAAGAAAAGTAAAACATTGTATTTTAGATATGGTCTATTAAAAGATTGACGGTAAGTAAAGGAAGACATTGT